AAAATGCACTTTATTTTCTTCCATTTTCAAGAGAGTACAAACTGACAAAAATAATTTAATTGAAGAGATCGACTCCACAGTGTAATGAAAATAAATAAATATTAGATAATAACTGTTCGTTTACCATTAATAAAATTGTTAGAAACGTAAACTTTGAAGATTATGGCATAATAAAGCAGCTTGCAATATAAATTTAAATATAGCTACAAATAATCTACTAAAAACTTAATAAAACAGTCAAAAATCCAAATATTACGTTAAAATTCACATTTGAATACAAGCAATGAATACAAGATCAAATGATTTGCTGAATATTTTGCTGAGAGAATTACAGAATTATAAATTGAACATTTTTTACATAGCAATATGTACCAAATACGACTAAGTTACTACTTAGTCACCTTCTTAGATCTATCACAGGCGTTGGACATAGTTTATCAAATAGGATTTCACTATAAATTAATGAATAAAAACCATTCAACTATTAAGAAATAATAAAATCCTATTTAACTGAGTCCGAAAATCTGAAACACACGCGGACTTCGGTGCATTTGACCAGAATCGGGTGGCAGGATTCCGACAAATGTAGTTTCGGGTCGGTGGGTACGGTAGACTACTACTTCATCGAATGTATTTCAAATCGGCAGGCTACTTTAAGACTTTTGGTAATGCTAATCCGATATAAGATCCCACCACCTACATCAGTCCAGGCTCTCATTGCTACAAAGAACACGAGAGTGCTTTACTTTGCTTCATTAAGTACATAAACATACATATATAATTTTAAATGTTAATTCCCACTCACTCATATTTGGTCCTTCCGTCCTTTGAAAATTTGTTACGCTTAGTCGCCACTTGTGGACCACCATTCTCTCTAATCCCATCCAGTATAGTTACTCTTCACTTAGCTTACGTATCTTACTCAATTTCGCCAGCCACTGTTTTGTTATTATAATACCCTAACTCTACTAAAGTTCATTACTGATGCTAGCGTAGTCACTAATATATTAAAAATATAATGAAAATTCCTGTAGTCTAATCAGCTTACTAACATTTAAAAGAAAATTACGAATATAATCAAATTGTTTATCAGTATCAACACTTATTAACTCCACATTGTATGTTTTGCAACTTATGTATGCTTTATGCCAATTTACCTAAAATTTTACGGAAAATCAATATCTAGTATTTAATATTAATAATACATACTTTATTGTTGGTATGCAAAAAATTATGTTTTGTTGCCGTAATTTGTTAGAACTCTCTTTGCAAAATTCCAGAGTGACATCACCAACATCTATTAAAAGAAATATTTATGTAAATGCATAAAGTTTAAAATTACTTACTTAAGACACAGGCGCAAGAAATTACGAAATAAATATTAATGACTAAAAAAGAAGTTAATGCCACATGAACCATTTTTTTAAGGTTGCCCGAAATCTTCGGCCGATGATACAAATGTAGCCCTGGTGAAGGCAAATATTGACGAAGATCCAAGAGTGATACAGGAAAGGGTATTGATGAACTGGGCTTGAATGACATGGCTTTGTCGCAAATATTAAATCATCACTTTAGCTGTATGAAGAAATCCGCTCGATGTGTTCCATGATTTGTAAATGACGACCAAATTAAGACACGTCTTCGTTTTGCCGAATATTTCTTGGAAAATTTTGAAAATGGAAATTCTATCACTTTTAGTAAAATCGTAACAGGTGATGAATCTTGATTCTATAAGTTTGATATGGAACCCAAGCAGCAGTCTATGGTAAGGAGCGCAGAAGGTGCAAATCTTTCCAGTTAAAGCTTGTCTTGTAACAAAAGTGATGAGGTCGATTTACTCTAAAAAGTGGTAGCTGCTATCTCACTCGAAACTAGTCAGAGGGTAACTGCTAAGTAGTCCACAGAAATTTGCTTACTACTTTTCAAAAAAATGTTGGAAAACCAAAAAAGAGGGGAACTTCCTCGCTACTTTTTACATTACGATCATGCACCCGCTCACACTACTGAAATAATCAACAAATTTCTTGCGCTCTCTGGCATCAATGAAATTCGTCCAGCACTTTATTCTACCAACCTAGCGTCTTGTGATTTTTGGCTGTTTCCGAAAATTAAAAAATTGAAGTAAAAAGCCGATTTTGATGAACGTTTTGAATGGTAGCTTAAAAAATGTATTGAAATAATAACTTTGTCACCAAGATATAATATAATCAATTCGTTTATTTTCAATAAAATTGTAATAAAATCGTGGAACCTTAAAAATACAATCTACATTAATTTGCTGAATTAATTTTATTCGGACTGAAAATTACATTGATTAATAGGCAATTGATAAATACTTTATATAGACATCTAACAAACATTTTTGTTATGCTGACAGATATAGTACTTTTTATAATTGCAATAGCCGTCGTCAAGGAAATATTTATTTACATCTACATAATAATAGAAATATGTGCAGCTTTCTGAATTATTAAGTCGTGTAATTTTTCGCCACCGATTAGATATAACTTTACGGCCATTGCTCATCCAATACAAATCTTCTTCCATATTCAAAGATATTCCAGAAGACCATGCATTGCCAAATTCAACTGAGAACTAAAATATTAAAAAAATATAATGAAAATTCCTTTAGTGTAATCAGATTACCAACATTTAAAAGAAAATTAGCAATATAATCATATTCTTTATCAGTATCAATACTTAATAACTCCATATTGTATGTTTTGCAACCTATGTACGCTTTATGCCAATATACCTAAAGTTTTACAGAAAATCAATATCTAGTATTTAATATTAATAATCCATACTTGATTGTGGGTGTGCAAGTAATACGTTTTGTTGCCGTAATTTGTTACAACTGGTAAATTAATGGATTTCTTTGTGCAAAATTCCAAAGTGACATCACCGACATCTATTAAAGGAGATATTTATGTAAATGCATAAAGTTTAAAATTACTTACTTAAGTCACAGTCGCAAGAAATTATGAAATAAATATGAATAACTAATGATGATGTTAATGCCACACGAACCATTTTTGAGCTATATCTTTGTAAGAGAAACTGCAGAATGTATATGATGTTTAGTTTATCTGTTTTAAATAAGTTTGTTAGTTTTTATAATGAATCGATTATTTGCCAGGAAGATGATTTATATTTAATTTGGCAAATATTTTCTTTACTTTAGTGCATAAACCAGACTATATATATTCCCAGTCAATTAAACATCAAATCTATTCTGCAGTTTCTATTTTTGGCATTAATTGATTCATTTTTCTATGAAGGACGAACCTCGTGAAGGTTGCCCGAAATCTTCGACCGATGATACAAATGTAGCCCTGGTGAAGTCAAACATTGACGAAGATCCAATAATGACACATGAAAGGTTGTTGATGAACTGGGCTTGAATGCCATGGCTTTGTCGCAAATATTAAATCATCACTTTAGCTGCACGAAGAAATCCGCTCGATGGGTTCCATGATTTTTAAGTGTCGACCAAATTAAGGCACGTGTTCGTTTTGCCGAATATTTCTTGGAAAATTTTGAAAATGGAAATTCTACACTTTTAGTAAAATCGTAACAGGTGATGAATCTTGATTCTATAAGTTTGATATGGAAACCAATAAAGAGATCATTAATTAAAAGTTAAAAAGCTCCAAAAAGCCGATTTTGATGAACGTTTGCAAAGGTGGCTCTACTGACTTAAAAATGTATTGAAATAATAACTTCGTCACCAAAATATAATATAATCAATCCCATATTATATTTGTAATTAAATTGAAATTATACATTAATTTAATAGAAGTTTGAGTATTAATATATCTTCCATTATTCCCCTAAAAATCATGAAAGAAGTAAACGCTGTAGAAACGCGTACTGAACGAATCCAGCACACATCGTATATATCGACTCCACGATTTACTTAAAATAAATAAATAATTATATGATAGTGATTATTTTATTACCATTAAAAATTGTGTACAAACTTTGAAGATTATGGCATAATGCGAGGCAGCTTGCAATATAAATTTAAATAGAACTACAAATAATCTGAAAAAATAATAAAACAGTAAAAAACAATCCATCAAAGATTACCTAAAAAATACATTTAAGGAAATTAATACTTATTATGGGCGCAACTGGAAAAATACAAGACCAAATTTGCATCCCATCAATCAGGAGAGAAAATGGTACGCAGGTAATAAGTAATGAAGACAAGGCCCAAACATTTGCTGAATATTTCGCTGTTTGTTTAATCATATCTATCGAGTTCTCTCCGATAAATTGAACATTTTTTACATAGCTATTCCAAATGTGTGAGCCAATAAATCCAATACTGTCATATGAAATTGCTGCATTTATAGGTTATGGAAATAGGACTTAATCAGAGTTTAAATAATCAAATAACAGCCAATAAATGTTTTTAAAAATTGTTTTGATTCAATTCGTAGAAAATTGTCTTAATACCCAAGTCACCCGAAAAATTAAGATCATATAGACAGATAGGTGTTTGAGAAATGTTGTTAATGAATATGTTAAAAATGTTAATATACAAGAATGAGTTACTATATAGTTACTATAATCGCTAAATTTTGAGTTCGGTGTCAACATAACCGAGAAAGTCATTAAATTGGTTAAGATATTAAATCAAGATTTGGAAGAAAATTGCTATGAGATATATAGTTGCACTACAAATGCAAGAAGAAAATGCAAATATTATAAAATTATAACTCCCACGCAGACTAATTATTTCGAAAGTATTCGACACATGTACAAATTTGTATCTAATTAACTCGTATATAGCAGGCAAACACAATACGGTACATTTATATTTAATTAAATTATAATAAAATCGTGGAACCTTAAAAAATACAATCTACATTAATTTGCTGAATTAGTTTTACTCGGACTGAAAATTACATTCATTAATAATATAGGCAATTGTTAAATACTTTGTATAAACATCTAATAAACATTTTTGTTATGCTGACAGATATAGCGCATTTTATTATTGCAATCCAAGTCGTCAAGTACATATTTATCTGGATAATAAAATAAATATGTGCAGCTTTCTGTATTATTAAGTCGTGAAGCCTTGTGCCACCGATTAGATATAACTTTACGACCATTGCTCATCCAAAAAAAATCTTCTTCCATTTTCAAAGACATTCCAGAAGCCCACAAATATGTAGTGCGCAAATCAAGAGAGAACTGAAATATTAAAAAAATATAATGAAAATTCCTTTAGTATAATCAGCTCACTAACATTTAAAAGAAAATTACCAATATAATCTAATTCTTCATTAGTATCAATACTTATTAACTCCATATTGTATGTTTTGCAACTTCTGTACGCTTTATACCAATTTACCTAAAATTTTACCAAAAATCAATATCTAGTATTTAATATTAATAATACAAACTTTATTGATGATATCCAAATAATACGTTTTGTTGCCGTAATTTGTTACAACTGGTAAATTAATGGATTTCTCTGTGCAGAATTCCAAAGTGACATCACCCACATCTATTAAAAGATATATTTATGTAATTGCATAAAGTTTAAAAATACTTACTTAAATCACAGGCGCAGGAAATTATGAAATAAATATTAATGACTAAAAATAATGTTAATGCCACACGAACCATTTTTGAGCTATATCTTTGTACGAGAAACTGCAGAATGAATATGATGTTTAATTGACTGGGAATATATATAGTCTGGTTTAAATAAGTTTGTTAGTTTTTGTAATGAATCGATTATTTGCAAGGAAGATGATTTATATTTAATTTGGCAAATATTTTCTTTTCTCTGACGCGTAAACCATACTATATATTCCCACTCAATTAAACATCATGTCTATTCTGCTTCTTTTTTTGGCATTAATTCATTTGTTTCTGAAAAACAAAAGTTTTTTCTCAATTTGTTAAAGTCTAACTATATTTCATTCCAAGAAGAGCGGTAAGAATGCATAGGAGAAAATGTAAGATTAATGATGTAAGGTTGGTACAAATTCCACCACCAATACAGCAAAAATTAGTTTTGTCATTCTCTACTGATTTCAACGTCAACTCAAGCCTATGCAAATGTTCTACGAATGCCAAAATGTATATGGAGCATCATCCCTTTACTATTTCCAAGTGGGTTCAAAGATTTCAGACCGGTCATTTTTTTATGAAGGGAGATCCTCGTGAGTGTTGCCCAAAATCTTCGGCCTGGTGAAGGCAAACATTGACGATGATCGAATAGTGAACAAGAAATGTTGATGAACTGGGCTTGGTTGCCAGGGTTTTATTGCAAATATTAAATCATCACATATTTCTTATATAATTTTGAAAATGGAGATTCTATCACTTTTTGTAAAACCGTAACAGGTACTGAATCTTGATTCTAGAAGTTTGACATGGCTGTTTGGTAGCAGTCTATGGTATGAAAAAATATAAAATAATCAATTCCATATTATATTTATTGTAAAATGGACATGCACTATCTAATTAAATTTAAATTATACATTATTTTAATACAAATTTTCGTATTAGTATTAATATCTTCCATTATTCCCCTAAAAATGATGGAAGAAGTCAACGCAGCTGTAGAATTGCTTTCTAACAAAATCCAGAACTCATCGTATATATCAACTCTACAATTTAATAAACTTAGCTAAAAAATTACATTGAAGGAAATTATTACTCATTGTGGGTTCAACTGGAAAATTACAAGACCTAATTTGCATCCTGCCAATCGGCGTAGAAAATAAGAAGACAAGGCCCAAAAATTTGCTGAATGTTTGTTCAATCAAATATATCGGAAACAATTATAAATTGAACTTTTTTTTACAAATGAAATTGCCAAATATGACAAATATGACTTAATCAGAGTTTAAATAATAAAAATACAACCAAAAAATGTTTTGTTTCAATTCTAAGAATTAAAGCAAATAGTCTTAATACACAAGACAGGAAAGTCACCTAAAAAATTAAGATCATATAGACGATAATATAATAGTAATAAACAATCACCAATTTGCTGAAAACTGCATTGGACAAAGTGTGGGATATATAATTGCACTACAAAAGGAAAAAAGAAAAAAAATGGAACTATTATAAAATCATAATTGATACGCAGACTATTGTGAATAAAATTTTAAATGCTTTATATAGACATCTAACAAACATTTTTGGTATGCTGACACATATAGTACAATGTAGTATTGCAATACATATCGTCAAGTAAATATGTATCTAAATGACCCCAGAAACGTATGCAGCTTTCTAAATTGGGAATTCGTGAAACCGAATGCCAGCGATTAGATATAACACCACGGCCATTGCTCATCCAAAAAAAATCTGTTTCGGTTTCTAAAGATATTCCAGAAGTCCACACAGATATATTGTCCGATTCAACTGAGAACTAAAATATTTAAAAAAATATAATGAAAATTCCTGTAGTCTATTCATCTTACTAACATTTAAAAGAAAACTACGAATATAATCGAATTCTTTATCAGTATCAATACTTATTAACTCCATATTGTATGTTTTGCAACTTATGTACGCTTTATGCCAATTTACCTGAAATTTTAAGGGAAATCAATATCTAGTATTTAATATTAATAATACATACTTCATTGTTAGTATGCAAATAATACGTTTTGTTGCCGTAATTTGTTACAAATGGTAAATTAATGGATTTCTCTGTGCAAAATTCCAAAGTGACATCACCGACAACTATTAAAAGACATATTTCTGTAAATGCATAAACTTTTAAATTACTTACTTAAGTTACAGGTGCAGGAAATTATGAAATAAATATTAATGACTATAAATGGAGTCAATGCTACACGAACCATTTTTAATTTATAACTTTGTAAGAGAAACTGCAGAATTAATATGATGTTTAGTTGATCGGGAATATATATATAGTCTGGTTTAAATATGTTTATTAGTTTTTGTTATAACTCGATTATTTACAAGACAGATGATCTATATTTATTTTTTTTTAAATTAAAAATTTCAAACATATTTTATTTTAATAGGATTTTTTTTACTCGGACGCATAAATTCTAATTATATTATTATTTTAAAATATTTTATTCTGAGATGAATCTGTCTAACATATGTGTGGCCTTCTGATATTGCTTTGAGATTCTTTTGAATGAGCAACTGTCGTAAAATAAGATCTAACAATATAGACATTTTCTTTCATAAAGTTGTATAAATTTCCACAATTTCATGTAATTATACAATTTTCTATATCTGTGAACATACCAGAAACGGGTGTTAGAAGTTTTTGTAGAGCAGTTAGTAATTACCGATGCTATTAATGAAAACTTAATTTTCAGTCCGAATAAAACTAATTCAGTACATAAATGTATAAAGTATTTTTCTTTACACATATATGCTTTTATTATTTTTTTATTAATAAATATGAAATACGCCTTTTTATTTTTAGAAAATAAAGAATAATTAGTATGCGCGATGAAAAAAATTAAATGATAACCAATGAATGTTAGTATACTAAATTTAATAGATTTCATAATTATTTTTGTAATTGAATTTCGAATTTATATAATTTGAAACCCGTTTTTTTCTTCATATAAATAACCGATTTTTGAGTCTAGACTTAAAATATAAAAATGAATTAATTAATTAAAAACATAAACATTTTGACACAAAATCTTTTCCATAAAATGAAAATAAAATCTGGAAGAAATTAAGTCTTAGTCTTGACACTAAAAGCTAAACTTAGTACCAATGTATTACTTATAAAACCCACTAAATATTTCGATGTCTAGCGTATTTCATACACTAGTTTCAAAAAGTGGGATCATTAACTTATCTTACAAATATGTTAAATATAGTATCCAAATTATTCAATAGAAGAATTCTATTTTCTGAGAAAATTTTAAAGTCGGTTCTTATATAAACCGTAGTTTCAAGTAATTTAGACAATCTAAACTTCTGGCGATGAAGTAAAATATGAAACCCATATGAAACCAGTAATATTTTTTTGGAAGTGTAAACGACATATTATGAAAGGGAATGACAATATCAAAAATATAACTTGTTTTGGTGGTGCCTTTTAACGGGCGTTCGGTATAATTAAGTATGTAGATCATTAGTATATATTGTAAAATTATATGCCAGATCATGAGTACTCTAGGTGGGAAGGAAATGTTGTTTTTGGTTTTAGATTGAGACTTATTGGTGATATTGGGAGATTTTTTTAAATGGTAGAATGCGACGCAATAATGAGGATGTTGGAGAAGTATGTAAAAACGGGATTGTTGTATTATTTCAAAAAAATTACTGTATTTTATTACAAAAAAAACAAATCGTTATTTTTTAATGGAGCATTATATGTAATTTCTATTGAAAAAAAATCTTGTTTATTTCTTTAAAATAATTGAATATTCTGCATAAGAGATGAGCTCATTGTTTAATTTTTATAAGTTGCAAATGGAATATTTACATTACTGAGATGTAAAACCCTGCCTATAAATATGTTTCCGATCAGTAGAAAATCACATTCATTTTTTTATATAGATCGAAAATGGTTCGTCTAGCAGCAATATCCATTTTAGTCGTCAATTTTTATTTTATAAACGTTTCTACCTGTTATTTAAGTAAGTAATTTAATTTATATTTTCATGTTTCACAAAAGTTCCTCTGTAGATGCAATTGATGGTGATAGGAATATTTGCTTACCGACAAATGTAAAATTACCAATTATAACAACATTTGAGAATAAATTTTATTACTTTGAAGATAATAAATATGTAAGTATTTGTTTTGTATTTGCGACGGCCAAATAAAAATCTTCACGCTGCTAAAATATACATATATTGTATAATTTCAGTTGAATTGGTATAATGCTTATCAAGCTTGCAGGAAATATAATATGGCATTGATTACACTTGATTCTGATGAAGAATTTGATCATATTAATACATTTATTAATAGCGTTTGTGAGTATAAAGAAAGTCATCATACTGAAATGACATCCAATAATAACATTTTTGTTAATAGTAACTAACAAAGTGGAAATATGGACTTCTGGTACGGATTTAGGAAAGAACTATGATTTTATGTGGATGTCCAATGGTCAAGAAATAGTTTCCCAAAATTGGGACGAAAATGAACCTAGTAACACTCTTCTTGAAAATTGCATATATTTATCACATAATGATGATTCATATTTACTTAATGATGGATTTTGTAATGAGACCAAGATTTATATCTGTCAGAGTATCAATAATTTCTAGTATCAAAAATTTCATCGAATAATAATATATAATTAACTTACAATTCACATTATCCACAATTAGATGTATTGATAATATATTGTTATAATACAATTTAATAAACAGAAGGATTTATTGTATACATAAATATAATAGTAATATCTATAGGCAATGAACTTAATAAATGATTGTGAATTTAGAATAATAATTAACAGTGCAGTGTTTGAAATAAATATAGATTACATATTTATTTAGCGACTTAGTTTTATTTCAAAATTAATATTACCTAAACCTGTAATCATGAATACTTCATTTTTTTTATTTTATAAAATAATTAATTACTTGAGTTTGCACTAAAGTCAAATTGATCTAATTAACGTAACATTGAGTAAATGAACGTTATATAATAAAGTAAATAGACGTCGAGGGTTTCGAGTACAACCAAATATATGTTAATATGCCAATATGCCCGTTCAAAATCAATAATTATGGAATGTTTATGCCCTGATACCTTAGAGCCCGTCAGCCCCTTCCATCTCCTTGTCACTCAAATCTTTATCTTTTATATCATTAATCTTATATGTACGTTCGATCATATCATATAACCTTTACTCAGTTATTATATTTTATTTTGTATTTTTGTAGAAATTGTTCGAACGTAAGTCGATATTTTACCGGTACCGAATTGCTAGAAACTACACAAACGTGCACCTTACATTCAAAATATTTAAAAACAATTTTTTTGTGAATATTGATTATATAAAAAGACATATATATAATTATAGTTAATATTATATTTAAGAACTATCTATAACTTATAATCTAATTTTTTATTACTTTGTAGCAAATCATTGCAGTTTCAATATCTGTCAAAATAATTATTATATTCAATATTGATTATACAATAAAATGCCGATTATTCGTTCCGTTTTCGGCGCACTTATCATATCAGAATTTTATCGCGGCGCCTCAAGTTAAAACATTGGTGTATCTCAGGGCGAACTTTATGTTCAAACATCAGAATTTTTGCTATTCGCACATTTTGGAAATAAAATTGTGTCTGCAAATCTACCGATTAGTAAATATTTTTACAAGGAACACAATAAAAAATTACAGATTACCTTAATGATTAAAAATGTGATATCAATAGCAATACAAATTAAAACAAAAAGCTATATTTATATTAACCGGTTTTTTTAATGATTCATGCTTTAAAGTTTTCGAATTGGCACGGATAATAGGTACCTCGCAAATTGCGGATAATTATTTGATTTGAAAGTGAAAAAATACAGATTATGTAATTTTTTTATGTTGTGTAAATTTTTCACAATCTGTTCATCAATGTGAACATTGAGTACATTTAAGATCGCGGTTGACATTAGGTAGGTAATCTTTCCTGGTGGATAGTTATGACCATTATGATGATTTTTTAATTTTTAATTTGTAGGTTGCCTGTCGTAATATCTTGATGCTCTGCGATTCCAATATTTCCTTTCACTGTGAATCTGCTGCTATCCTTAACACTGTAATTGTACATCGACTTGACTGAAGATCCATATGCTGTACCTCATTTATTTTACTGTACATCCCATGGCGAACAATGGCCTTATTGCTGCTGGCACCGAGAGGACTCATAAGTGGCCTGGCTTGACCAGGATTCGAACCGTCGCCGGTTCGATTGTGGTAGGGCCACTTAACCATTCGGCTATTAGTCTCCCCAGATTATGAAAAAAAATTCATTATGGAACAACAGTATTTTTTTGAAAACTTTTTTCCTTCAGTTTTTTTGAGAAATTATGTTTAATTTTTGATACAATAACATCATTTTTTTAAGTATAAATATACTTTCAGAACTCTGATTAATTTATATTATTGTTGGATATGTATTTTATAAACATATAATATCCAACACAAAATATAACAGATATGCTTTGCTTTATAATTCAAAACAATATGCAATACAATATTGAACCGGATCGATTAACAGAATAATTTATGTCTCTTATACCGGATTTGGCTTGTGCATAAGATCTATAGTGCTACATCCCTATATGTATTATTTTTATTCATTTATTTTTTTAATTTTAATTTTATCTCCGCTATAAAATACCGATCCAAAGTATTTTACAAAATTGATTTTGTAGCAATAAAGAGATAAGTTCCTGTCGGATATTCACCCGGAGACATCTCAGGAAGTAACAGCTTCCAATCCACAGGATTCGCAAAGATGCGACGATGAATATGCAAACCATCGATACTTAGAGTGGACAAAGAAACGAGCCGGATTTGTCGAGAGCAACATGACACCGAATCGATTTTAACGTTGTGCAGTGCTTCGTTAGCCACGCTCCGTACAAATCTGCATGTAAGATGGATTTATAACTTTGCATTTCAATATTAATCTTGAACGGGGACGTGTGCTCTTGGATCAACAGATTAATTGGAGCAGAACACTGTGTACAGCTCCATTACGTTGCATCTTATCTCAAATGTAACTAGAAGATTAATTATCCGCACAATGCCTTTACATACCAATTCAACAACAAACGTATTCGTAATTACATGATTACAGAGAGATATTCTACCCCGAGATTAAAATTATTTTATATTACTTAATTAGATGCATTAATCATTTGAACTTGTTGTACTTTATAATTTGAAACTTAGTCACAATTTTTAAGAAAAAAAATTCAAAAATTTTTTTTTTATTACATAAATGAACCTTTTCTATTTACCACAATTATTGGGGGTCATAGGGACATTTATCAATTAAAATATTTTAGATTTAAATTAAACTTAAAACACAGGCAGAGTTCGCAAATAGGCATATAACCAGCCATTTTTAGTATGTGAATGTATTGATCGAATAAAAAAACATCTCTATAATTTTAGATAAAAGATTTCATTAATTGAATCAAAGCTTTTATATTGGAGAAACATAAAGCAGATCAAAAAACTTTTTTCAATAATAATCTAATTGTATTTTAGATTATTTCTTATTATTTACGTTTATTATGAATAAGTCTATATCAAATAATAAAACATAATGTAAGGATTATGGGTGTCGAGATTTTGATATTGTCGGGATTTCGATATAAACCTTTTGCACATAAACTGCAGACACTATTATTGGTTTCTCTGCATTAATATTATTAATTATAAGAATAGTTATTGCAACAGTCATAATTACAAATAATCATTAATGCTAATGACCACTCTTTCCAATAATTATTCTTTAATAATAATAATATTATTTATTGCAACAAATAAAATACAAACTTAATAAAATAACATCATAAGAAAAATATAACTAAATTGATTTTCTGCAAAGGGCTACTGGAAATAGGTCTTTCTGAAATTACTGTTTATTATTCTACTTAATTTATTTATTCCCTTCATCATTTTAATTAATAAAAAATAATTTACCTATCATTTAGATGCTAAGAAAGAAAATAAGTATTAACAATAAACTAAATGTATTGTCTACATGCTATTGAGCGCAGATTTATTATTATTTAATATTATTTTTCAATGACTTTTTCAATTTTTCTGGTAATAACGAGTTCCGCAAGAAAAATATAATCTTAGGGAGTCGACAAAGACCACTGCCCGTGTATGTATCCCGTGGGTATGTGATCCGCCTTCTCGAAAATCCATTATACTGAGTTATTATCATCGGTATTTATTTATTTCATAAATACCAACAGAGAGTGTTGCTTGAAAAATATCCGCTGCGACCTTTAATAATTCATCCGGAGGGCGCTTATTGAATTTTTAAATGGCCGCTCTCTGGTAAAACGACTATATCTCATCCAATTCTGCCTCCTTTTATACGACGCAGAGTTTAATTGCGGATCCGAAGGCAGACAAAGGGCACGTAACGTTCATAAATTCGCGCACTGGCGCAACGAGACGTAACCAAACTACGGTATATACTATATATAGTTTAGTAGTGTTTATTTCTCGAATGGTTCAAATATGCTTCTTTCGTTGCTGTTGCTGGTCGATCAATGTGCGTGTACTTTGCAATACGTCTATATATTTAAAGGTACACTGTACACGTTAAGCTCCTATACACCGAGGATTTCACGTTTGTAATTCGCCTTAAATCCAAATCTAGAGTAAACAGGTCGGAATAATCTGGTGCACGGAAATGGGCATTACGAGACGAAGGGCGGAGGGCTGGAGCTCCGGAACTCTGGGCGAAAGAAGCACGGCTTGTATCGCGGGGTTAAGTAAATATAATTGTAAATGTGGATGCCGGGGTTTTGCTGGAAAATACATTCGGAAAATGCCTATTTCACTCAACTAATTATTATTAAACGAATGCCGCCACCTAATTGCTGCTGTTTTATTTGTATTCGTGCCATTAAACAGTACAGAGCTTTGCAGATGATATGCAAATAACATATATATTTAGAAGAGAGAGGGCAAAAGAGAGGTATCCATTAATTAACAACTTAATTAAAAAGGAAATGCAATTTACTACACTCGCGACTAACAATAAAATTTAATTAAAACAGAAAGTTTGTCATATTCTGCTTTTAAGTTCTTTGCTATATTCTTGAAGTGAAATAGCATTGCTTTAGATTAACAAATATGTTTTTGTGGACATCTATTTCAGATAATTTGTTTTATAATGCAATCCACGCAACACGAGAACTAAACAACTGTACCAACTAGTAAGTTCAACTATTTTGTATAGTGTGCAGTAAAATTGAACAAAAATTCTACTTTCTATTTTAATAATATAATATATTATTTACATATGTAAATGTATTACAACTTTGACATGTGGTTTCAGATAAAATAAAATTAATTCCAGTGAACTTTACTCTCTTCTTATTATTTTATATATTTATCATTATCATATTAGTAATCTTCTAAAATAAGCATTAAACGAAAAGAATTATAAGGTCTGGTATTTAATTCAATTTACATTATTTCAAATTTATTAACGTGTCTACTCGGGGCACTAAAAAGAGGTTTAATGTAATGTAACTTTGTTTAACGTTGTTTTTTTTAACTAATTCTTATTGCATGTCATAAAATGGATTTTGGTACATCATAAAAATGAACTTGCATGTTTTCATTTACCCGCATAACTTAGTCCTTCATTCAAACATTATTTAAATATTTGTTTTTTCTTAATTTTACATGAAGCACTATGAACGTAGTCATATAATTATTTTTTAAGATTTTAAATATTGATGGTGAACTAACAGAGTTTCTACTATCATCAAGAATGAAGATTCTCTCTTTACTATAATCATCTATAACAGGGATTCCCAAAAACTGCCCTGAGGTGCACCAATGTTTTGACTTGAGGCGCCGCGGAAAAATTCTGATATACCAATGGCGTCGCAAACCAAATAAGTTTGAAACTCTTGAACTATAACTTAAATGTTACAAAGCCTGATCTTTGTGTATTCTAATATGAATACTATATACAGTAAAACAGACAAGTTGTCAAAACTAATTCGTAAGTTGGTTTTGTTCGTAAATCGATGCCTTCAAGAATCGAGCTTCCAATGTATCAATATTATCGCTACATTACGTAATTTTTATACTTTCATATAATCAGCATATTTGTATAAAAAATATTTTGTGTATTAATATTTTAATTTTGTTTAAAATTATATATTGAAATTATTGAATATTCTGTACATACTAAAGATAGAAACAATGAAACGCTGAAGCAAATTGTCATAAAATTAAATGAGAAATATAGCAGATGTTATCCTGTCTGCATTTATAATTTAATTTAACTTTACTGAAGATGTTTTTCGCTCTGAGAAAGCCAACGAAAATTAAAACTTCCGACTTTGCAATTTATATATTTCATTTCTATAAACGTGGATACTTTGTTCTCTAAGCCGAATTTTAATTCTTAAAAAAATGTCGACTTTTCAGTTAATCTTATAATTATTCACAATATAATATTAGTTATTATAAACTTCAAAATTGATATAAAATACATAGGTATAAGTTTTAAAGTTAATATTATTTAAAATTGAAGAAAAGTAATAACTGAGTTTGGATTACAAACTAACAGCATTATATTTACTAACTCTATATTTATATAATGTTTAATTTTGACAAATGTATTATAAATATGCAACTGAATAATATTTACCACTTATAATTTGCTTCCATAATTAGTGTTCTTTTGTTAAGCAATATGTCATCCATTGATATTGACACGTTAAACACAATCCTGTCAAAAAAGTATTTCTTTCAGCAAATAGAACTTCCTCCATTCAACCATTGGACCAGGAAGTTATAGCATCATTTAAATCTAATTATCTACGTAGAACATTAAGTAATTTAATTGAAGTAGATGATAAAGAGAACGACATTGAACTTTTTTATGTAAATATATTTCTGATTTCACTTTGAATGTTTCCTATTTTGTGATTGTAATAATAATCTATTAATTTCAATATTATCAAATAATTGTTGATGTCTTTGATAAAAATAATGTGGATGTAACATTAGATTCAATAAACAAAATATAAATAAATAATACGTTATAAGACATTAATTTTGAAAGTAAACAAACGACGACGACGAATATTTCCGACCCGAGAGATTCGCATTTTGTATCCTGTTTGCTTTAAAATTGGATTTTAAATTTTAATGAGCAGTCATCCGAAACTTTCGCCATCAACTACACTTTTAAT